TAGCTACTTGCATCTCTGTGGTTATATTCAGCCATTATAATGAGCCATTCTACATTATGTTAGAGAGGGCTATTGGATTGCCATAAGATGAACTCTGAAAAATGTCACATTATAGAAAGCAGTAACTGTAAAATGGGCTAATCTGGAGAATAAGGAGGGAATAATAGTAACAACTCAAGATCTCAAAGGCATTAAATCTCAAAGGCCATAAAAAAGTCACTTTTCCAGATGTTGACCCATGTAGGGAGGCAAAATGTAGCTCTGTTACCTATTAAGCATGCCTTCCAGAAGAAGAATTGTGACAGTTATTCAGCCAAAGTACAGATGAAATAGAAAGGAAAATTGTGCACAGGTTGGGATCCTTTTGCAGCAAAAAAATAATGGAAAATGCAGAAGGAACGTAGTGTATTCTACAACAGTGCCAAGGTGTACTCTAACCTTTAATCCACATGTTCATAAACCAAGCATGTATCTTATTTATAGATTATTTTCCTGTACATTCTGATAATCTCATTAATATTTCAGCAAGAGGTCTTAAACGCTGCTTTAACATAGTTTTCCCAAGTTAAAAATTTTGAAAAAAAATTAACGTGAAAAGTATTACTTTTAGTAGCTTTCTAAGCAAAAAATGAAAAACTCTTTTGAAAGCCATGAAATTAGCATCAATTTGGGAGATAAAGCACAACAAGAGGGAGTTTTTAGGAGTGCAAGAGTTACTAAAATAGTTCAATCTTTTTATGAATTTAAAGAGAGAAAAATATTTTATTTCTGAGACATTAGTTCATAAGTCTACATCAAAGCATCTGTTACAATGTACAGATACACCATATGTTTATTACTTGGCAGTCTAATGTATTCATATTTGCTCTAATTTTTACTGTTAGAAATGTATATTAAAGAAACATAAATATGTTAAAATATTGTTTTTCACAAATGCTACTCTTGACTTTCAAGTATTATGTTAATATATCATAGTCCTAAAATTAAAATGTATTAATTTGAATGGGTTCTAGTCTTCCAGAATACACAGACACTTAATTGTCAGTACCACTACCACTTACCTGTCTTAAAGTTCTTTCATAGCAATGCTTGTGTACTGCACAACATATCAAAATATTTAGGAATTGTTTATCTGTTAATTAAATTTTTAAATTCAAGGCATACTGCCAAGAACACGAAAACAAAAGCAAAACCCTAGCAATGACACAGAAGTGAAGAAATGACAAAGATGTATGTGAAAAAAAAAAGAATTATAAACAGAAATTTGTCCTGTCTTACCACTTTCCATTTTGTCCTCTGCAGAGTTCCTAGCTAAACTTCTTTCTGGAGTTTCTGACTAATTAGCTCCACAGGAAAGTGTCACAGTCTACGTGTGCACCTGTATTAGGGTGCAGTAAACTAATAACTCCATTGTAGGATAGTACTATCCAGGACAAGTACTATCCTACAGCGGAATAATTACATGGACTTAAACACACGTGTAGACTGTGACTGAAGCTGGCTAGGGCATGAGGGTGCTACAGTGCAGGGTTTGCCTGCCACCTAGCCCCACACTGTAGTACCTTTGCACTCCAGCCAGCACCACCACCACCTGAAGCCTGGGGCTCACTGTACCATGCCCCATCAGCTCAGGGCTGCTCCATCCTGGCTCAGATTGCTGCGGTCCCAGGCACCTGTGAAGGTGCTGTGCCCAGGAAGCAGCTGATTCTAGCATGAACTGCACCAGAGTGTATTCAGGTGTATTAATAGCACATATAGATGCACCCATTCTGTAGGGCCTTGATTCTGATATACAGGAAGGCTACTCTACATTATTTTAGTAGATACCAGCAATCTGGTAAATGACATTTACCCACTTTGAGGTTCATGTACACAGTCAGACAGCTGTAATGTGACCATTTTTAGAACAGAGAGAGAAAAAGATGACATAATAGCTGTAAAATTTAAACAGCATAAACTGATATACAAAACAGACATCTCTACTAAGGAGAATTAATTTTTCTGGGTTTTTTTAATTCAAAGTAAAAAACATATGGATACCCCCACAAACTCAGAATGAGGAATGACTAAAGAAAGCTGGATAATTAGAAGATGGCCATAAATTAACTGAAGATGAGTGAGGCAGAAGCATTGTATGAAACACCTTTTCTATTTTTATTCTTCCCACATTTCCAAAAACACAGGAGGAAAAGGGAAGGAGGAGGGGTAATGATGAATATGAAAATAATACCTATAATGCTGGTACAGCTCTTAAGCATTTCATGGAGGAGGACATTCCTTTAAAAGGAGTTCATTGAATCATTTAAAAGGAAATAAGGGAAAGGAAAATTGCTTCTATGTAACAAAATGAGAATTAATGAAGTATATCTGAAAAGAAAGTAAGCCTGGAAGAACAGCTAATGATGCTTTTCCAAAATGTGCTGATAAAATATCAATACTTTCATTACAGAAGGTGAGAGCAGAGCAGGGGCGGGCAGTTATTTCAGGCAGAGGGCCACTTACCCAGTTTTGGCAGGCTGTCAAGGGCCACATGGGTAGCCCCACCCCTTGACAGGTACCCTGCCCTTTGACAGGTGCCCCGCCCCCTGGACACCATCTTGGGACCAATGTCCCAGGGCCAGCACCGGTGGGGCCCAAAGCAAGGCACAGGCTGGCAGGGGTCTGCAGAGAAGGCTGTACCAGCTGTACAGCAGGGCTGTACCAGCAGGGAGAGGGGGAGCTGGCATGGCTCTATAGAGCCCCTGCCGGCTGGGACCCCATGCTCCTGCCACCCTGCTCTGGGCCCCGCCGGCCCTGGGATACTGGTGTGGGCCCCATGCCCTTGCTGGTTCCTGCACCCGCTCACACGCAGTGCCCCCCAACCCTGCAATACAGGCGGGGGGCAGCACACAGCCCTGACCCACTGCTTGCCGGCAGGGAAGAAATTGGTGCTGAGCGCGGGGAAAAGCAGCCCCTTGCCCACCCCATGGCTGGCACTCCCTGCTGCAGGTTCTTGCAGCCCATGCGGGGCTGTCTGGAGCAGGCACAGGCAGCCTCATGTGGGCTGCAAGCAGCTACAGCACAGGGCACTGGCCATGGGGTGAGCAAGGGGCCGCTTTTCCCTGCACTCAGCACCAGCTTGTAACCCAGCCCTGCTGCCAGCCTGGGCTCCACGCTGGCTCCAGGCTTGCCCATCAGAGCTCACGTGCTGGGCAGCCCACAGGCAGCGGCGGCAAACACTGTCTGGCATGGCAAGCCGGGGGGCGGGGGGCCGCAGCTGCTGTCACTACATGCAGCCCCGACGGGTGAGCCAGGAGCTGGCGCAGGGCCCAGGCTGGCAGCGGGGGCAGGTTACAAGGTGGTACTGAGCACGGTGGGAAAAAAGTGGCCCCTCACCCATCCTGTGGCCAACGCCCTGTGCTGCAGCTGCTCGCAGCCTGTGTGGGGCTGCCTGTGCCTGCTCTGGACAGCCCCATATGAGCTGCGAGCAGCTGCATCAGGGAGAACCGGCCATGTGGTGGGGGAGGGTCCACTTTCCTCTGCACTGGGAAGGAGCCCGGGGAAAAGCTAAGCATGGCTGCAAGCAGCTGCAGCATGGGGTGCTGGCCATGGGGCGGGCAAGGGGCTGCTTCCCCCCCCCGCACTCAGGTTTTCCCTGGGCCACTTTCTCCTGGGGTCCTCCCCTGCCCTCCCCCCTCCTTACCTGAAGTTCTGGCACCACTGGGGCAGCCATGTGGTCCCAGGCCAGAGGGCCCTGCTGGGGCTTCCAGCTGGGGGGGTGGGGCCAGGCAGGTCCTGCTGTTGTGGGAGCCCTCCAGGCTTCCCCTGGGTCCTACTGCCCTTGGTTCCTGTCATTTTTTATATTAATTTTCTAAATTTTAAGGGGACCCACAGCCCGGAAAGAATGGTCTTGAGTGTTGGATCCAGCCCACAGGCCTTATTTTGCCCATCTCTGGAGCAGAGCTTGACAGGCAGCCAGATTCCTGCACCTGTTTCACACCATGTCACATCTAAATGACACACCAGGCCTTGGCTGAGAACAAATGTGACATTTAGATATTGTAGTATTGTGCAGCCAATGCTGATCCACATGATTGTGGTCCAATAATAATTTGACAGCATATGATGTAAAGGTAGGCCTATCTTACATTTCAGTGGGTGCATCTACATGAGACATTTACTGCAGAATAGACTAAACTAATTAGCTCTGCAATAAACATCTTGCATCTTCCTGTGCAGGGCTGTTATGCTAGAGTAAACTAATAAACTCTGCAGCAGGGTAGTACTTGTATTTTACTGTGCAGCACCGCACACATGGGTGTTCATGGGTGGGGGCTGCCTCTGGATAGCCCCATGCTGAAGTACCTTCATGCCCCGGCCAGCCCCTCCACAGCAGGTTAAGGACAGCAGGAGCAGCTCTGGGTTGGCAGGCTGACCCTCAGGATCCCCTGGCAGCCAGGGCTGCTTCAACACAGCTCAGCATACTGCAGTCCTGGGCACATGTGTAAATGCAGCACTGGGAAGCAATAAACTCCAGAGCAATAAGCTCCAGAGTTTATTACTTTGCATTATTTGAGCATGTAGACACACCCAGAATAGGGGACTGATTCTTATGTCATTAACAATGACTTTACATCACTGTTACTTTAGAAGGTTAGTTTAGATTCATACCAGTCTGAATCAGTCCTATGAACTTCAGTGAAATTCTCTTTATTTAAACTGGTATAGGTATACACATAGGTTTGGACCTAATCTATTTCTCTTAAAGTCAACAGGAATTTTGCCTTTGGCTTTTATGGAGCAGGGACAGAGCTGCACATGCAAAAACCACTTAATCTCATCTCTTTACCTTCTCAGCCATGCCTTTTAATTTATTGGGAATATTTCAGGCATATCTTAGCAGTACATCTGAATAAAAAGAAATCAAAATTCCGTGTTTGCTTCCACAAATTGTTGCTCATAACAATAAATAAATTACTTCTCACCAGTTTTTCATACCTATCTTTTTATTTTAATTCCAGATGGCATTCATACTTTATTATATGGCTATAGTAGGCCATGCTTTGTCAATAACATCGCTCTTGATTTCCTTGGGGATTTTCTTCTATTTCAAGTAAGTGTTTTTTATAGTTTATATTTTCTTCTCCTCTCTCAGATGCTGCCAAATGCCAGAGGTATTTAACCAGGAAAAAAGTTAGAAGGTGGCTTGAAAGTTATACTCAGTTCTCTTTAGTATTTTTTCTGATAATGCTAGAAGAAAAGAACTGAAGCAAAAGCTGTGCAGAATGACATTAAATACCTGACCATAGAAAGATTTTTCCAGTATAAGGCAGCTCTCTCACTGTTTTATCTATTATCTATATTCTATGCTATTACCTTTTCTATGGCTGGCATACAAGCTAGGACCAGTAGAAAGAGGGAGCATAGAGGGCCTTACTGAGGGTATTATGCTTCACTAATTCACTGGTTACCTTTTGACTCTTTAAGTATGCTGGCAGGTATTGTCATACCAGAGGCTGAACTCTGACTATAATTTGGAGCCAACTCCTCCCTAACCCCCCAAATGTAACTGACACTTCTGATATGTTGTGACAGATCTGAGCCACAAACTTTAGAGAAACAGACATATACACGAGATGCTTTACTGCGTAGCAGACTAATTTGCAGTGTAGTAAAGCATCGCCATGTACACATGTGCAACAATTAGGGTGCAGTAGACTAATTTACAGTGCTCTGCTGGATAATCCTATCAGATACAAGTGGTATCCAGCAGCACAATAAATTACTGTGCTTAAACACATATGTAGACAGAGACATTGGGATTAGTATACTCCATCTCAGACTTAGCCAGAGTATATTCAGTCACATGAATTGCATGAGTAGATGCACCCATTTACTAGTAATGAGTGCATTGAAAATAAATTTTGTAGGGTGTACCCATCCTCTCAGTTTTACTGAATATCATAAAGTAAGGTCCTGCAGTATAATTTTTGAAGATCACATTCTGATTGTTATACATATTTGCAGCTGCTATATGCAAACAAACAGGGAAATTGAATCTTATTCTTCTGAGTGTAAGTCTGTCATATAGCGTATAATAAAGCATCTCTGTTGAAATAGCAGAGGGATTTCCTTGGTTCAGTTTGCCCTCAGACATATATTCACAACATCCATCAAATTCAGTAGGACTAGAACAAGACTGAGAACAGAATAAAGCTTTCTTTTTCTATAAAGAGAAACTATAAAAATCCAGCTACTGCATGTCTAACACAGTAAGTCCTGCAGTCATTTCTTATTTTAAATAAAATGACAACTGAGTACACTGTGAAGAAAATGTTCAAACATAAACAGAACGATTGGGAAGGATCTCAACTGTTGTAAATCAGCATCAACTTCAATGGAGCTATGCTGATTTCCACAAGATATGTCCTTCAAACTCTTAGGCACCAGAATTATGGCATTTAGCTCTCATGGTACTACTATAAACAGTAACATTTCAGTATAGATAGCATCTCTCTAAGGGTAGTTCTAGCTGCATATAGTCCCAAGTATTTTGGTGAAACAAAAGGAACAACAGAAGAGCTTTATAAACACTGCATTTTCAGTGGAATTGTATGAGTTACCACCACCACCATGTTCTAGCCCCTCAGCTTTCTAAGCTATGAATGCACTGTCATCTGCAATGTCAGCACAGCACATCCAGAATGAGGCACAAGAAAAATGGACGTCTGAAAGGCCAGTGAAAGACTTCTAAAATTAAATTACAGGAAACTGACTCAACAACCTTCTCCACACTGGGCACATCAACATGAGATGCCAACTGTGCAGTAGCTGAATAATACTGCACAGTAGCATATCACAGCACCAACAGTGTTAATACATTACCATGCAATATTATTAGCTACTGCCCTGTAGTGTCACTAAAAAGGCATTCACTAATGCTACTGTACAGCAACTCCAGTTACTGCACATTTATTTAGTACTTAGTTATGCAAGTACTAAATAAATGTGCAGTAAACACTGCATAGTAGTATCTTGTGTAGATGCACCCACTGTGACCCTAGACAGTTGTAAGAATTAAAAGAGGATGTCTGCCTCAGAGACAATGACAAACAGAATAACATCCAACTGGTTTTTCAGGGCCAGAATGAATTTTACATCTTGCAGAAATAGAACAAGAAAAATCTCAACATCAAACCTAAGGAAATGAATTAACCATTTGTTGGGAGGTAAAGACCTTAAAGCTAGGGACAGACATTACACATAAACCAGTTTCAGTGATTGGATGGTTTAAACCTGTAACAGAACATAAGTTCAATGTACATAAACCAGTTTCAAAATAGCTGAAACTGGTTTAAGATAAACCTGAATTTAGTATCAGATTTAACTGATTTGGGTCAAACTGGTTTATGCACTGTCTGTCTCAGACCCCTTCCTGGTTGAAGTTAAACCAGAGTCCCCCAGCATCCCAGATGCTTTGCAGCCCTGGGATGGGATGGACTGGGCTAAACTGTGCTCTCTGCTTCAAAGAAGAGGCTGGCCCTGCCCCTCTCGTTCCTAGCCAGAACTCCACAGAAGACTGCAGGCACAGCAGGGTCTGCCTGACTTCCCCCTGCTCCACTTCTCCTTCCCCTCACTGCTTAAGCAGGGATTCCGCCCTTCTTCCCTCCCATCTCCCACAGCATGGACCCTTGCCCCACAGGCCCTAGACATGTGGTATGCTAGCTAATGCTAAGAGGCAGGGGGTGTGTGTGTGTGTGTGTGTGTGTGTGTGTGTGTGTGTGTGTGTGTGTGTGTGTGTGTGTGTGTGTGTGTGTGTGTGTGTGTGTGTCCAATTTCACTGGGACAGGACACAGGCAGACAGAAGAGTGTCCACTTAGGGCTTTTTGGAGCTAATCAACAGATTAGCTGGTAATGTCCCTCCTTGGAAAAAGCTGTTTAAGAAGAGTTTAAACTAATGCGATAGGCTTTGTTTTGCTGTGAAAAACACTACGGTTTTATCAGCCCCCCCGCTGGTTTGCAGCCCTGTTAAGTTTGCAGACAGGGAGAGGGATATTAAAAAGCTCAGTATCATCAAAAGATGCATGCACTGCACATTAGGGCTGTGTGAAGCTTTGGTTGCTGATGCGATTCAGCAGAGATTTGGCCCAATTTGGTGGCCAAATCTACAAATCCAAATCAAATCAGGAGACCCTCTAATCTCTCCAAATTGAATTGGAACCCTCCAAATCAATTCGGAGAGATTCAGACAGACACAGCTTTAACTATTTTTTCTAGTTAAGGTACCAGGTGGCTTATCAAAGCTGAGATGGTGGGGTGCATGGAGTGTCCCACAGGAGCGTGGGGGGAGCTCCCCAGCGCACTCAGTGGCGGACCCGGAAGTGGACCAGAAGCAGTTCAGGTCCACTTCCAGGTCCACTGCAGAGCATGTGAGGGACCCTTCCTTCTCCCCACCAGTTCGGTGACTGGTGCCTCCTGGGTCTGGGGGGGCACCCAAGGTCCCCCTATGGCCAATCACTGAGCCGGGAGGCTCGAGGTGGGGGTTCCCCCACATGCTCAACAGTGGACCAGAAGTACTTCCGGTCCACTTCAGGGTCCATTGCCAAGTACATGGGGGGCCCTCCCGCACTCCTGTGTGACACTCTATCCACCCCACCATCGTAGGGTTCACAAGCCATGCCTGGTACCTTGAGATATGTAGAAAACACATTTAAAGCTGTGTCTATGGCTGAATCACTAATTCTCCGAATCAGCATTGAATCTTCAGATTCAGACAAATCAAATCAGGACAATGATCCGAATCAGTGAATTGAACCGCTGTCCCCAATTTGGGCCGAATCCAGCTCATTTCACACACCCCACTGCACACACACCCTTTACTGCAAACTGCTAGCCCGGGGTTGGAGTCTGGCAACGCTTCTGCCCCTTGGGCAGTGAAGCTGTGCAGGCCACTCCCCCCCCCCCC